TCCTGCATTGCAGGTGGATTCTCTACCAGCTGAGCCACAAGGGAAGCCCAAGAATACTGGAGTGGGTAGCCTATCCCTTCTCCCAGGGGAATTGAACCGGGGTCTCCTGCATTGTAGGCGGATTCTTTACCAACTGAGCTATTACTCCCCAACTAGATCACAAATTCCTTGAGAGCAGTGACAGGGTAACAAATTCTTTCTGTATCCTTAATCCTCTTCCCTCATAGTTGAAGGCATAGACTTATTGAGTGTTGGCTACATAAATATGTTGATTAGCTAATACCCTTCCTCCCCAACTAGAATCCTCCTCAATAAGTGTTTATTGAATACCTTCTCTGGAACAACACTAGAGTTGTTGAGACAACAGAAGTGAGAAGGACATGGTGTAGTCACAAGACTCAAGTGGAAGAGATTATGCAATCAGCATAGATGTCTGAACAAAGGGGGCTTTGAGGGAAAAGCCTGTTTGAGCTGGCCCTAGATGGATTGAAGGGGATTTCACCAGGCTGAAAAGAGGATGGCGGCTGGATGGGATTTCAGCTGGAATATCTGGACCCGATGAGCAAAGGCATGGAGATGTAGAAGTACAAGGCCTATGTGGAGTATAACAAATATGTGGCAAGAGATAAGTCTGTCTGAGAAGATGGGATTTAGCTTTGATAGGGCTCTGAATGCCATGCTAAAAAAAAAATGTAAACCTGACTCAGAGGCAAAAGAACCAGCTTACGATTTTAAGCAAGAAGGTGACAAAAGTCCCTGAAAATGTCAGCTATGTAATGCAGATATCAACCAAACAACATTTTTCCTTGTTTACCCTCCCCTGTAGCCCTCCATTGTGTGACAAGCCCTATAGTAATCCATTAGTTGGGATAATAAAACAAATCCCCTTTGTTCCTGGTCTACCCTAAATTCTGGCTGACCTCTCGCATGTGACCATCTAGAGATTTGATTTATTCCAGATGTGCCATTCTCTGGACTGCATCTCATAGTGAAGCTCAAAAGTATTATGGAGAGAGCAATAGACTTGGAGTTCAACTAAATGCAGGATCAAATCTTAACTGTAGGAACTTTACATTATTTCCTCAGTATTCTGCTGCCTTAACTTTTCTTATGGAACTGTTTTATATATGCAAAATAAAAACCAGAGACTACCATAATGTATTATCCACAGGCAGGATACCACTTTTGAGTTTTACTGATTATGGTTATTTTCTCTGTTGAACCCCCAGTCTGTTGCATCTGTTTTGCGTGATCTGCTTGCTTCTTATGATTTTCTTTTGTTGATACTTTATTTCTATATGCTTATTAAGGAAGCACTTTATAATCCAAACACTGAACCAGATAACTGCTGCAGGAAATGTTTGAAATGAGGCAGCTCAATTTAGCTAGATTGTTCTGTGTCAGTGGGTTACAGGAAGGAGTTTGTAAGGCCCCTATGGGGAAATGGAAAAGTTTTCCAGCTTCTCCTTTGTTGAGTCTTCATCATGTAGTGTCGTTATTTTGTTTTAATGAATTCCCAGAACAATAGGTACACCCTCTAAAAATATGACTACAGGACATATTCCAAAGCCAAATATAAATTATTTTTGGACTCCTCATACTTTTTCTTCTTATGATTTGTGTGGCTAATGTAGAATTGCTGGAACTGTGTGTTTTAAATCATTTCCTGGATGAAATATGTAACCAGTGAAGAGAGAGGGAAAGGATTCTGCATCGTTTTGCAGTTTTTTTTTTTTTTGCCTACTTTTCAGTGCTAGTCACTGGAATTCATGGGTGTTGGATGAATTTAAACAGAAAGAAAATTTCTCGAGTTCTTCTCATCAGCTAAAATGGTGCTTATTTTCTTTTAAGATTTCTAGAAACCTGGAATACCTACTGCTAAGATTGAGTGCTTTTATAGGTTTGTTGAACATAGTAAATCCCAGAGTTAGACAAATATTAAGTGTAGATATTGACTCTGATGCCATCTACATTTAAAAGGGAAAGTTGATTTGAGGGGTGAGGGCAGGGAACATGCCTTGTTTGGAGGTTATTATTTGTATTTAGGTTAAGGTTATTTCTGCTTGTTTCTGATCTTCATCCTGTTGGGTTTGAAACAGCAAAAGAAGTGTATAGGGAGTTCTTGGGAATTTAAGTTTCTGGAGCTTAAGATAGAGATGAGAGCTAGAGATAGTAGGTTTCCTTAAAGGATAAGGATACTCAGAGTAAGGCACGGTCAGATCCAGAGCAAAGTATAGAAACTGTTTTTTCTTAAATAAAGAGTAAAGACAGTTCTTCCTGAATGACAGGAGGGAAGACTGAGAGATTCAGTTTCCTATGTGTCCTTGTTGTTGTTGTTCAGTTGCTAAGTTGTGTCCAACTCTTGGCAACCCCATGGATGGCAGCATGCCAGGCTCCTCCATCCTATATTATCTCCCAGAGTTTGCTCAAATTCATGTCCATTGAGTCAGTGATATCATCCAACCATCTCATCTTCTGCTGATCTCTTCTCCCTTCTGCCTTCAGTCTTTCCCAGCATCAGGGTCTTTTCCAGTGAGTCAATTCTTTGCATCAGGTGGACAAAGTATTGGGGCTTCAGCGTCAGTCCTTCCAATGAATATTCAGGGTTGATTTCCTTTAGGATTGACTGGTTTGATCTCTTTGCTGTCCAAGGGATTCTCAAGAGTCTACTCCAGCACCATAATTCAAAAGCATCAATTCTCGGACGCTCAGCCTTCTTTATGGTCCTGTTCTCACATCCATACATGACTACTGGAAAAACCATAGCTTTGACTAGATGGACCTTTATCAGCAAAGTGATGTCTCTGCTTTTTAATATGCTGTCTAGTTTTGTCATACATAACTTTTCTTCCAAGGAGCAAGTGTATTCATGGCTGCAGCCACCATCTGCACTGATTTTGGAGCCCAAGAAAATAAAAAAATCTGTCACTGCTTCCACTTTTTCTCCTTCTATTTTCCATGAAGTGATGGAACCAGAAGCCATGATCTTAGTTTTTTGAGTGTTGAGTTTCAAGCCAGCTTTTTCCCTCTCCTCTTTGACCCTCATCAAGAGGCTCTTTAGTTCCTCTTTACTTTCTGCCATTAGAGTGGTATAATCTCCATATCTGAGGTTGTTGATATTTATCCTGGTAATCTGGATTCCAGCTTGTGATTCATCCAGCTTGGCATTTCTCATGATGTACTCTGCATATAAGTTAAATAAGCAGGGTGACAATATACAGCCTTGACGTACTCCTTTCCCAGTTTTGAACCAGTCCGCTTTTCTATGTTCAGTTCTACCTATTGCTTCTTGACCTGCATACAGGTTTCTCAGGAGGCAGGTAAGGTGATCTGTTATTCCCATCTCTTTAAGAATTTTCCCCAGTTTGTTGTGATCCACCCAGTCAAAGGCTTTAGCGTAGTAGTGAAGTAGAAGTAGATGTTTTTCTAGAATTCCCTTGCTTTTTCTCTCATCCAGCGGATGTTGGCAGTTTGATCTCTGGTTTCTCTGCCTTTTCTAAATCCGGCTTGTACATCTTAAAGTTCTTGGTTCATGTAATACTGAAGCCTTGCTTGAAAGATTTTGAGGATAACCTTTCTTGCATGTGAAAAGAGTACAATTGTACTGTAAGTTGAACATTCTTTGGCATTGCCTTTCTTTGAGATTGGAATGAAAACTGACCTTTTCCAGTCCTGTAGCCACTGCTGAGTTTTCCAAATTTGCTAGCATATTCAGTGCAGCACTTTTTATAGCATCATCTTCTAGGATTTGAAAATAGTTCAGCTGGAATTCCATCACCTTCACTAGTTTTGTTTGTAGTGATGCTTCCTTAAGGCCTACTTGACTTCAACCTCCAGGATGTCTGGCTGTAGGTGAATGACCACACTGTCAAGGATCATTAAGACCTTTTTGGTACAATTTTTCTGTGTATTCTTGCCACCTCCTCTTAATCTCTTCTGCTTCTGTTAAGTCCTTACTGTTTTTGTCCTTTATTGTGCCTTCTTGGAACTACATTGCCTTCTTACATTTCTTTCTCTTTGAGTAGGTTTTAGTCACTACCTCCTGTACAATGTTACAAACCTTTGTCCATAGTTCCTCTAGTACTCTATCAGATCTAATCCCTTGAGTCTATTCATCACCTCCACTGTATAATCCTAAAGGATTTGATTTAGGTTGTATCTGAATGGCCTAATCTTTTCCCTACTTTCTTCAATTTGAGCCTAAATTTTGCAATAAGGAGCTCATGATCTGAGCCACAGTCAGCCCCAGGTCTTGTTTTTGCTGACTGTATAGAGGTTCTCCATCTTTGACTGCAAAGAATATAATCAACCTGATTTTGGTATTGTCCATCTGGTGATGTCCATGTGGAGAATTGTCTCTTGTGTTACATGGTAAGGGTAGCAGCGCACTATATCTGCAGGGTAACTGAATATGTTAAGTAGTTTGCGTGTCTATATTATTTAAATAATAACATAAAATAAGACATATGAATAAATGGTAACCCAAAAGGTGAAGACTACCTAAATGTCTAGCAACTGATAAATGAATCAATAAAATGTGGTATATCCATACAATAGATATTATTTAGTCCTGAAAAGAAATGTAGACTGATACATATTACAGCATGGTTGAGCCTTGAAAAAAATATGAGAAGTGAAAGAAGCCAGACACAAAGGGCTACATACTATATGGTTACATTTATATGAAATATCCAGAATTAGCAAATCCACAGAGAGAAAGAAAATAGAGGTTATAAGGAGCTGGGGTAAGAGGGAGACGGGAAGTTACATTTATTGCATAGTGAGTTTCTGTGTGAGATGATGAAAAATTTCTGGAAATGAAGAGTGATGATGATTGCGTGTCATTGCAAATCTTCTGATTGCTATTGAATTGTCAGTTTAAAGTGGTTTAAGTGGTAAATTTTTTTACGTGTATTTACTACAATAAAAAAAAGAATAAGTGGTAAGGGGTTTGGAACTCATTGTAATAAACCTCCTGTTTTTCTTTTTGTGCAGGAGCCATGGATCACAGAGGCTTTCACCAGGGGAGTTTTAATAGCTTCCAAAGTAGCTCCAGTGATGAAGACTTGATGGACATACCAGGGACAGCCATGGATTTCTCCATGAGAGATGATGTTCCTCCTTTAGATGGAGAAATAGAAGGTATATTATTACTCCTGATGATAATATATCTTTTTCAAAATTATTTCTAATGTATATACAATAATATTAATTTATCTACTGGTACCCAGTCCTGTGAGTTTTAACATGTGCGTAGATTACTTGTAACCCCTCCCAACAACAGGATATAGAATAGTTAAACACTTCCAAAGAATTCCTTCTTCTTACCCTTTGCACTCAGACCTCCCCTACGCCCAGCCCCTGGTAACCAATGATTTGTTCTCTGGCCCATAGTTTTTCCTTTTCGAGAATGTCATATACATGGAGTCACATAGTATGTCAGATTTTTATTTTGCATTTTTGACTGCGCTGGGTCTTCGTTGCCGCATGTGGGCTTTCTCTAGTTGAGGCAAGTGGGGGCCGCTCTTCATTGTGGTCCATGGGCTTCTCATTGTGGTGGTTTCTCTTGTGGCACACGGGCCCTAGAGCACACAGGCTTCAGTAGTTGCAACTCTCGGTCTCTAGAGTGCAAGCTCAGAAGTTGCTCCGCAGCTTGTGGGATCTTCCTGGACCAGGGATCAAACCTGTGTCTCCTGCACTTGCAGACAGATTCTTAACCACTGGACCACCAAGGAAGACCAGTATGTCCACTTTTGAGACTGACTTCATTTACTCAGCTTAATGCTTTGGAGATTCACCCAAGTTGTTCATTCCTTGCTGAATAGTATACCCCAGAGTGAAATCACTGAATAGTGTGATAAATGTGTGCTGAACTTTATAAGAAGCTGCTGAACCATTTTCCATAGTGGCTGTACCATTTTGCATCTGAGCTAGCCACCTTTGGTAGGTAGTTCCACTTGTCCTGCATTCTCCACAGCTCTTGGTATTTTCAGTAATTTTTATTTTAACCATTCTAACAGCTATGTAGTGTTATCTCATGATGGTTTAATTTCATTTTCCTAATGGCTTATGATTTTGAACATCATTTCATGTGCGTATTTGCCAAATTTATATCCTCTGATGAAATGTCTGTTCAAATCCTTTCCCCTTTATAATTGTTTTTTTTTTTATTATCTGGAATATATTTATGAAAGGAGAATTCCTCGTATGTATTGTTTGGTTATCCAGTAATGTCATTCTTTTCATTGGCTACATATAATTTCATGGGATAGCTATAGCATAGTTTATTTAACTAAGCTTCTATTGATGCACATTTCAGTTGTTTACAATATTTTCCTATTTGTGTGTGTATGTGTGTGTGGGGGGGTATGTATCGTTTAAGTGTATGAGAGCATTTTTGTAGCATGACTGTGTAAGAAGAGTGTGTATTTCCCTACCACCTTACTGGTGCTAAATATTATAATTATTTTTTCATCTTTACAATATGATGAAATAAATATATCTCCATTATTTTAATTTTTACTTTTTTAAATTAATGAACTTGAGCATATTTTCATGTTTATTAACCATTTAAATTTCTTTTTCTGGGAAATTCCCTGGTGGTCCAGTGGTTCAGACTTTACTTTCTCACTGCCAGGAGCCTGGGTTCAGTCCCTGGTTGAGGAACTAAGATCCCACAAGCCCCATGACATGGCCAAAAAAAATTCTTTTTCCGAAAGTTTCCTGTTCATACGATGTTCCTGTTTTTCTAATGGGCTATCTTATTTTTTTTATAAGAGCCCTTTATAGCTCAGTTGGTAAAGAATCTGCCTGCGATGCAGGAGACCCCGGTTTGATTCCTGGGTTGGGAAGATCCACTGGAGAAGGGATAGGCTACCCACTCCAGTATTCTTGGTCTTCCATTGTGTCTTAGCTGGTAAAGAATCCGCCTGCAATGTGGGAGACCTGGGTTAGATCCCTGGGTTGGGAGATGCCCTGGAGAAGGAAAAGGCTATCCACTTCAGTATTCTGGCCTGGAGAATTCCATGGACTAAGTCCATGGGGTCACAAAGAGTCGGACATGACTGAGCGACTTTCACTTTATATCATTATTCTTAATCTTTTTTCTAATGTAGGTTGAAATATATTTTTTCTCTTCCTGGTTTGCCTTTGTTAGCTTTGTTTTTTTAATATTCAAATATTTTAAACTTTGTATATAGCTACATGTATATAAACTTTGTATATACCTTTTGTATCTGCTGCATTTCTTGTTATAATTAGAAAGGACTGTATCACTTTAAGATTAAATTTAGGTACTTAAAACTGTTGTCTGTTTCTTTAAGTTACTGGGATTGCCATTCTCAAAGTGAAGTCATGGGGCAAGAAACTACTGTCAGAATTCATTATTTAGCAAATTTGTGTTAAGAGCATATGACATTGCAGATATTTTTCTAGGTTCTGGGAATTACCAAGGCTTTAAGACACCATACCTGCATTCATGAAGTTGATTCTAGCTAGCCTAACAGAAACATAACTATTTATGACAGTATCTATCTCTTAGAGTTGTTTTCAGGATTAAATGAGATGATAATATATCAAATGCTTATGTACCTAGCATCAAGTTAATGCTCAATAAAATGTTAGCTATCATCATCATCATTATTTTATGTCTATTATAACCCTATATTATAAGTGCTATAGCTCTTATAAGAACTTAGCAGAGAACGCATTCTGTGTGTGGGGAGGGGGGGGACTGGAAAAATTTTCACAGAAAAGGTGTGTTTGAGAAGGGCCTTGGAAGATAAGTTACTTTGTAGGAGGAAGAGCATTCAAGGCAGAAAGTAAGCTTTTACAGAGGAGCAAACATAATATATAGAGGTGTAAAATGGAAGATATAAGCCTAAATAAGTAAATTTGGGTCTTGAATGTCATGCTGAGAAGTTTGAATGAACCTTATTGTCACTGTGAGGACAAACTCCTTCACATACTCATCGAGCACTTGCTATGAACCAGATACTGCTATAGGCACTAGGAATACAGTGGCTGGATTAACATAGATAAGATCCAAGCTGATCTGGAATTTAGATCTAGTTGGATAAATAAACAGACAGATTCCCTAGTTAATTATGACAATAGATGATAACCGGGAATAATACTGTAGTTGGAAAGGTCAGGAAAGGCTTCTCTGAGGGGAGGTGAACAACTTGGGATGAATATACCAGTATGAAAAACATGGATTCAAAAGGATAACAAGGGGCTTTCCTGGTAGCTCAGTGGTAAAGAATCTGCCTACCAGTGCAGGAGACACAGGTTTGATCCCTGATCCAGAAAGATTCCACATGACGTGGAGCAGCTAAGCCTCTGCACCACAACTATTGAATCTGTGCTCTAGAGCCTGGGAGCCACAACTACTGAGCCTACGTGCCCTACAGCCCATTCTCTGCAACAAGAGAAATCACTGTAATGAGACGCCCACACGCCACAACTAGAGTAACCTCCACTTGCCGCAACTAGACAAGAGCTTGCACAGCAATGAAGACCTTGCAAAGCCAAAAATAAATGAAGAGTAAATAAAAAAATTTTAAATAAAGATAACAAGAAATTTGCCTGGTAAAGTTACCTCAGGGCAGTGACAGTAGAAGAGAGCCCCTGAATATAAAGTTCATAAGAGAGAGGTACTCATAGCTTAGTATTTGGTGGGTTTTCCTATTTGCCTACTAATGTAAAGGGAACATTTGTGTATTATGTCCATTTATGTGTAGTTATAACCATAATGAATCAGTTATGCCAATTACTGGCTCCACTGAAGTGGTCAGTTAGAGTATCTGTTAACTACCTCTACTTAAGCCTTCTGGCTAAACCAGAGTAGTTTAGTTATCATCATTGCTTTTAATGAAAAATGATTTCATATGGCATCTGTGTGACCAAAGTACTTTTTGTGTGTCCATATTGCTCTCGGTAGGTGATGGGGGTGAATATCCGTTATTCTCATTTAATAAACTAGAAAACTGAGGCAGGCAAGATTTTGACATTGCTTATGATTGTAGAATATGGTTTGAAGTGAGCAGTCCTTCACTTTGCACTGTCCTTTACAGGAGAATTACTACTTGTGGTTTCCAGAGTCTGACCATATAATAATGAAGCTGTTTTCCATGAACCATGCACAAAAATCAGTCCACTTACAATACTCTGTAATGATATAATTTTCTTGCTTTGCTTTTTAGTTGTTCTTACTTTAATGTTTTCACACAGGATTTCCTAATGATCATGACAACGGCAATAGAAAAGAAAGGTCATAAAGTCCTTGATATTCGGTGGTGAAACTGTGCATAAATTATTACATTTTGTACCAGGCACAATAGCACGTTCTAAAAAGATTAGTTAAAAGGAACTTGAAAGGCAGTAGAAGTGGTTCTTGCTTTCCAGATGGCTGGAGGGGCTGATTTATGAGGAATGAATAAATAAATTATGCATGGCACAGTTAAATGCATCTGAGGTAGTGTTATAGTAGTCTGTAAATTACAAGAAACATAAACACAGAGATCTGAATGAATGGGAGGAGGAGGCAAATAGAAAAAGGGTTTGAGTAACAGGAAAAAATTCAGAGCTATTCTTGTAGTCCATCTGTTCTCACTTGCCTGCCTCCGCAGCCTGGAACTCCTTGTCAGCAATTCAGTCATGCATGCATTCAGTATTTTATGGAACACCCAGATATGAACTGTACTGTTTTGGTAATGTTCTTCTTCCTCTCACTTCCTCACGTTTCTACCTAGCCTGCCTTGCTGCTACTCCCTAACTGTAGAATGAAGAGATATTCCTGGCAGAGAGTGCAGCATAGGTAAAGGAAGCAGCAGCATGAGAGACCCTTTTCTGCTCAATAAACAGAGGCTGTGAGTCTGGGGCATGAGACTCAAGGGTGGGGATGGTTGACAGTTGGAGTAGGAGATAGGTTGGGAGAGCTTTTAGACCTTACCTTGTAACCAAGCAGTTACCAAATGATTTAAAAGCAGAGGAATGATGTGATTAGATTTATGTTTTAGAGAATGTATGGCAGTGTGGAGGATGGATTCAGGGGAAGGGTATGCGGAGACTGGAAGACCATTAAAATGTTAGTTTTGAGCAATCTAGGCAAAAGAGCAAAGGCCTAAATTAAGACAGCAGGA